CACCACTGGCTTTTGGGTCAGATCACCCAGTGCAGATCCTTGATACATACTTGCATTGGACATTGTTGTGGGCTCTAAGCCTCCAGCTGGACTTGTGGAGGGCATTGCTGTGGGCTCTAGGTATTCAGCTGGACTCGTGCAGGATATTGTTGTGGAATCCAGGCCCTCAGCTGGATTCTTTTGCGTCTCTAGTGTGTATACAGATCTTTTGCATGCCTCTGCATTTGACTTTTTGGGTGAATGTTATAAAATAATCCTGTAAACTGTATGTCCTGTATTAAATCTGTTCCCTTGCAAACCCTGACTACAACAAAAACTTATAGAATTTTGTAGCCCAAAGGTATCTTAAGTGGATTTGGCAATGGATTCTTTATATAGCGCCAAATGAGCAAGAAAAGAGTATTCATTTAGATGTCACCACAACTTCTGTGCATCAAAGGACATTTATCAAGAACATGAAAATACAACTTACAGAATGGGAGAAAATACTGCAAGTCATATATATCTTATAAGAAATTTGTATCTAGAATATATACAGAACCATTAATACTCAGCAGGACAACAGAAAGACAACCTAATTAAAAAATGGGGAATGGATTTGAATATATATTTCTCCAGAAGTGGTATACGAGGGTCAACAGGCACAGGAAAGATGTTCAGCAGCATTAATTATTAGGAAAATGCAAAAAAGATTGAAGATGGCCTTTACTTTAGTGGACAGAGTCTGGCAGCCCTGTTCATAAGTCTTTAGAAGTCTGAACAAAGGAATTTACAACTGTTCCTTGATTTGATCCAAGTTACAGATCTATATTCTCCAGTATTTGGAGAATGTTTTGCCCTCTGAGTGAGAGAATGGAGCTGAGAGGCACTTGTGTTTTCCAATCCACACAGTCCTGGTCCTGCTTTATTCCTTTTATAGTCTGCTTGTTAGTGGTCAGGTGTTTGGTTTTTGTTTTTATGTTTTGACCCCATTTCTTTCTTGCTATATTGTGAAATGTGCAGATAATTACAACTAGCTGACTTTCAACATTTGCCTAGAGAGCTCAGGCAAATCTGAACATTTGTTACGTAGTATGAAAGTTCCACTCTCTGAGTTATACAGGCAGCATGGTTTTGCCAGTTATTTTGTTACTGTATATGCCAGGTTTCTATTTCTTCAGTCTCAATTGACAATCTTCTTACCATCTAGCTTTTACTGATAGTTTGCTCACTAGTTTTGAAGGCTCATGCCACAGTTTTGTTCCAAAGTCACATATTTTATTTTTTAAATTAACTCAGGACCTCATTTTGGGTACCGTCAGTTAGATATTGCTACGTAATATACCGCTCAAATTTAGTGGTTTAAAGCTATAGCCATTTAGGGGCTGGGGATTTAGCTCAGTGGCAAAAGCGCCTGCCTGGCAAGCGCAAGGTCGTGAGTTCGGTTCCCGGTACCGGAGAAAAACCAAAAAAAAAAAAAAAAAAAAAGCTATAGCCATTTATTATTGTGTATGAGTCTGTATGTAGGCAAGATAGTTTGCTTGTCTGGAGTTGGTTGGTCTCAGCTGAAGTTGCTCATGTTTCAGGAGCTGGGAGGGTGGTATAGGATGACTTTATTCAGTGAGGAGATTGGCTGGCCATGTCTCATGTTTGTAATAATTTAATAGGTTAGCTTGGGCTTTTCAGTTGATTCAGAGGGAACACACAAAGGCAGAAAACTTCTTGAGGCCCAGGCATAGAAATAATGTATAATTATTGTTATCATAGCCTCTTGGCTGAAGTGAGTTTGAAAGGCCAAAGGGGCAGGGAATCACAATTACATTCTAATTGCTGTTGGAAGGTGCTGCAAAGTCACGCTTCAAAGACCATATCGTAGCAAGGGATAAAGAACTGTGGGTATTTATACAATTTACATATGTAAACGTGTGTAACTTCAAAATAGAAACAGTATAATATAAATAGTACAGTGTAAATTTTTATATAACTATGAATTGTATAAATATCTGTATAATTTAAACTGTTATATAATTCACTGTACCACCAACAGTTTGTAAAAGTTGTGATTTTTTTTCCATGTCATTTCCAGAACTCGGTATTGACAGTCTTTTCAGTTTTAACCTTTTTGGGTGGCTAGTGGTATTTCATTGTGTTTTGTTAGTAAGATGGCTCATCTTCACCTTTTAAAGTTTTTTTAAGAAATGTGGTCTTGCTATGTTTTTAGACTGGCTCAGATGATCTTCCAACCTCAGCCTCCTGTGTGCTCAGCCTACAGGGATGCACCACCCAGTCTAGCTTACTGGTTGTTTTTCTTTTATTTTTAGTTTTTTGTTTGGCTTTGTGTGTGTGTGTGTGTGCGCACGCGCGTGCGTGTGTGTTTTGTTTTGTTTTAATTGGCTACTTAAATAGGTACTTGTGTGAAGGAGGAGAGGAGTGCCTCCAAAATCTAGGTTGACCTTCCTGTCATTTCTCCCAGATCCTGGTCTGTAAAACATACTTCATTATTAACTTTCCAATATCTTCAAGTAATTTTCTTAAGGTGCTAAAGATCAAATCCAAGACCACATACATTCTAGTCAAACATGCCACCATTTTACTACATCCCTAGCCCCTCTTCAAATAAATGTTTGAATTCTTTATTTCAGTTATATTTTTCCAGCTTTTTTAGTCATCATTGGTGGGAGAGTAGGTCTTACTCTCCTGTTCTTGGAAGAGTAATTCATTCCTATCTCTGTAGTCTGACTTTCTTGCATCTGACAGACCTGGGGACCCACATAAAGCTGTAAGAGTTAGTGCACGTTATGTAAAGGTCTTTGTAAGAAGTCGGTCGCCTCGCCACCATTTTCCCCTGAGGTTCTGTTTAGTTGACAAACAGCTTTGTCATATTTGACAGGTAACAGGTGCTGACATCTTTTGTAGTCTTGTTGCAGGGAATAAAGGGTCTAGGTCACCATGTTCATTAATTAAGTCCAAGAAATTTCATTTCTCCTGTGGCTAATCATTTTCATTTAGTATGAATCTATAGTTTGTGCCTCTAGTTTCCCTGCTTCCACCCTAGTCCTCTGCAGTATATTTTCACAAAACACTACAATTTTGAAGTTATAATTAAGTATAATTCACATTGTATTATTTCTTTTCTCTGTATATTTTAAGAGTTTCTCTGTATATTTTAAGAGCCTTGTAATTCAGAACTTATAAGCATTAGCATGACCTGTAGAGTTTATGTGATCCAAACTCATATGGCCCGATTGACTCTCTTACATTTTTTCTCCTGCTTACTCTTCTGTGATCATTGGAATTATTTTGCTTTTTTCCTGGACTACTACAAAAACCACTTCTGCATCACTTTTTGTTTCTTGTTCCATAGTGCTTCCATAAATATTGACATGGATTGCTTTTCTCTGTGCGTTAAGTCTCTACTCAAATATCCAATTAAAAGAGAATCCTTAACATTTTACAAATAAGTATAGCATCCTCTTATAACTCTTTATCTAAGTTCTGAGCAAAGTGCAAAGTATATAAAAATTGGTTAAAGGTTGTTACTCTGGATAAACTCACAATGAGATAAGGCAAAAATATTTGGTTGCAATCCAGTTGATTGGGAAATGTGTTAAACACATAAAGTAGGTGCCCCAAACACTATATGTTTATGAATGGTGGAAGCTCATTCAGAGTGCAGGGTAAGCACTCATATACTTAGGGTTGATGTTGCCTAGATCCGAGAAGGCTCCAGAGAGCAAAACACACTGGAATGATACCTTAAAAACAATGACTGAAAAGAGGAATGAGTAATGTGAATAAAAGGAAGAGTGTATGCATTGAATAAATTCTATATAATTGAAACTTAAATATATTGCCCCAGAATGTTTATCTCCCTTGTTAATAGAAAGCATCTCATTTACAATATGAGTATATTGTTCCAATAACATTGTATTTTAAGGAGTCAGTGGCAAAAAGCAAGAATATTTCTTTTAATTTTAAAAATCTTTGCACAGTGTAGATAACTGTACCATATAGTAGATCAGTTAGGAAACTATTTAATCCTTAAAGGAGAGAATTTGCCAAGTTATATTGGCCTGAATGTAATTTCATAAAACTGTGAACTTTATTTCCCAGTGACTGTATAGAAGCTTTAAGTGTCTAGTGAGTACATTCTATTCTTAAGGCATTTAAGAACAATGGAAGTGTAATAGTAATGGACTAGAGATGAAAATATCTAATGTAGTGCCTGATAGTGAGATGCTTCTGTAAGTCATAGTAATGACGTATGAAGATTGTGTCTAACTGCTGTGGGACAGCAAAGGTTGTTTTCTCCCTGTTCCCTTCCTTTTTTTTAATCCCTTGATCCCATTTTCTACCTAGCAAGTAAATGAATCCAGAAATAGAGATAAGGGGGAGACTGTAGTGAGTACTTAGATATGTACATTTTAGAATTGTTAGGACTTTTGCTGCTGGCCACAGTTTTGAAAACAAACTATTTTTTTAAATTATAAATTCTGAAATTTTTGTACACATTCTGTTAAAAATAATATTTGTTCTGGCATTATCAATGAGGAAAACCCATTGTATAATGATCAACAAATATTAACTTAGTTTTCTAGCATCAGATGCTTGCATCAAAACATGAGGAAGACAAGACTGTTGCTTTTTTTTACTAAAATGTGATAGATAAGGTTAGGGTGACAGGAAAACAGCTGAAGATGGATGAGCCTCTTAAGTACAAGGTAATGGGTATCTACTCTTTAGCAGGTGTTTTGATTATATCGAATAGATAGACTTTTTTAGAAGGAAAAATCATAGAACTGCTGTCTGAAAACAGAGTAACATTGAAAATAAACACATCTGTTAAGACCAGAAGCTTCTTTAGCTTATTAAGTCTCTGTAACTGTCTTTGTCCTTAGAACCTTGGCATGTAAAATTTTCAGAGAAAACCTAGCATATTAGTCAATGCAACATTTATTCTCATCACCATTGTACTGAAATTGGGAGGAGTGTGTGAGTCTTGTGTTCTGCTTCTCCCTTAGGGGAAACAGTCAGATTCAGTGTGGTTATTCTCGCTGTCAGCTGGAGAACTGGTACTCCTCTGCAATGAAAATATTAGCATGAGACTATCAAATATTCTTCCTTCAAAAGGTTTGGTTCTATCAGATTATATCCTTCTGTTCTTTTTCATGTTAATATAATTTTATTTTATAAAATAGTGAAAATGATAGATAGTAGAGCTTTGATAAAAAAACCTCTCATTTGTTAGATAATAAAATAGTGACATCCCCAGGAAGTCCACCAGTTGTCTCTGTGTGTCTGTGTTTATATTATACCAGTCTGAGATCTAAAAGTCTAGAAACTATTGATTTGATATGAAGATGACAGGCTTTGGATTCAGCAGACCTTTTAAAATTCTTCCTATACTATAGTTCTTACCTTTCTCATCTTTAAAAATGGGGTTATGAATATTCATTTCCTAGGATTGTTCTGAGGGATGTTTAAAATTCTTTAAAAATTTATTTTAAAATAAAAGAAGCAAAACATATTAACAAACAGACATCCATTTATAAAATAGCATAAGAACAATATAAGCAATACAGAAATACAGACAAAGTGGTAGGAAATTAACAATGGTTGTTGTATTACGTATTGATATCTTCAAAGTGGTTTCTCGGGAAAACAAATAGAGACACGCAAGACTGATCAAATAATTAATCATTAACCATTCCTTTCAGTAAAGCAGTAGAAGTCAGTTATTCTGAGGGTTAACTGAGATAATATATCTATAATGATGTAACACCAGGTATGTAGGAGCTGAATAAATTGAGTTTCCTTTCCTTTTTCTCTAAATGTTTGGTAGCAGAAAGTACCTCAGATAAGATTAGATATAAGTTGAATATAAATGCAAGAGAAAAACTGAAGAAAGAGGCCTTGCAATATGCAATGTAATGAATCCATTTGTGAAAGGACATGGAATATTTGGAATTTAATAATGTGCCTTGTATATATAGTAAGACTTCAGTTTCCAAACATAATTTGTTCCAGAAACATGCTTGTCATCCTAAGCACTTGGGTATCACAGCACATTTCCCCATAAGAAATAATGGAAACTCAAATGACTCATTACACAACCCAAAAATGTTCACATGAAAATTATTGCAATACTGTACCATAATATAATAAAGAAAATACAAAGTATACAGAAAAACAAATTAACCTGCACTTACCTTTGAAAACCTTCATGGCTGGTGTGAGAGATGAGAGAGGAGGGTTATTGTGTAGGATGACTTTCTCTATCACTAATGTCACTAATGGAATCACTGCTATCTATTGGCTCAATGGAGTCTTTTTCTTTTTGTGTCACTATAACAAAGAACCTATCCAATGATATTTGTTTTGCCTCCTTTTGAGAATTTCATGGAAATGTGACGGTGCATTGTCATTAAATAGATTCATTGTTCACAGTGCTACAGGCCTATTCAGGTAGTACTTTTCTACAAAATTTTGGAATTTCCCACATTTTACACATTTCTCTAATCTCATTTGGAGCAAGGAATTCCTCTGCCTTTTTCTTCTCCTCCTCTGCAGACAAGCTGTCCTCTATAACCTCTTGGTGTTGGGAGATGGTCACCCACAATGCCATGGAGGGGGAGGTGAACCATTGGCTCAGTTGTGATCATGTGACTTTCAATGTTACAAATTACTCATAATGCAAGACATTGTTCATTTATTAAGTTAAAAAATTTATTAGAAATGTTTGCTCATTTTGCAGAACATTCAGAACCAGTTATGGTGCTCACAATCTAAGGTTTTATGTGTATTGATTTTAGATCATTTGAAAATTTTAGATAAGTGAATTGATATGATATTTGACTCCTATAACAAAGAAAAATAAGTATAAAGGTTTAAAGATTTAAACTTTTATTTTTTTGGTAAAATAAATTAAACGGTGAATAAAATATTTTGGTAATTAACCTTGATTTTAAGTCATTTTTGCAAAGTATGAGAAGTCTATTTTCTGAGTCTCATATTTTTATAATATGTAAGAAATCGGATATGTGTCATTTGTTATTTTAATGCTTCTCACTAGTGTGGAATGTACTGTGTGTGTTGCTACTTTCATTTTGCAAATGAGAGAAAACTGAAGCCAAGATAGTTAATTCACTAGGACAGTGTTGTGATTAACAAGTGATAATCAGATCTAGATCTTACAATAACTAATATAGTTGTTTCTATTTATTTTTCCCATTATTTATGATCTAGACAATACATTAGGACATAGTGCTTTTTTTTTTCTTTTGTGTCTCGTATGAAACATTTTAACCTTTGTTCATACCGTAAATTTATAAAAGAAAGAATGATTTCACTAAGATCATATTAGTAACCTTTCTATTTGGAGTATATCTAATTGTTAAACTACTTTGCTTACAATTAAAATATAGTGAAAAGAATTGTTACCGTAGCAGTTAGATAAAATCATCCAAAGGAAGTCTTTCTTGGCATGAACAGTCAGGATAGATATAGGTACTTACTTCTATGTTTATGGGCAACAAAGTTTTTTTGATTTATATATTTAACAAAACTTTTTTTTTTTTTTTGTCTTTTGAGATGGGGTCTCACTATGCAGTTCAGGCTGGTCTTGAAGTCACTTTGTAGCCCAGGCTTGTCTTGAACTCACAATGATCCTCCTGCCTCAGCCTCCTGAGTGCTGGGATTACAGGCATGCGCTACTATGCCCAACTTAACGAAACTTTGTTCTAGCTACTTTTAACACCTAAAAATCTACATGTGAAGTTATTCAACTGAACAAAACATATGCAAATGAATTTTTATTTATAAATGTGGCTCTGTATATTATTATGTATGTGGAATGTGTGTGAGTGTAAAATTTTAATTGATCGTGGGCTATAACCTTTAGTAACTGTTGTTCTATACTTAGCTGTCAAGGCACCAGGATGGCTTGTGATGTATCCTAGTGGTTTCTGATAAATGTATTTTCTATAAGAAAGTATATGTGTTTGGGGTAGAGAGTGATTAAGACCTAGCCTAGCTGGGTATATTTTATACGTGCATCATTCCCTTAAATTGAATTAGGCAACACTAATTTTGCCTGAAGAATTTATGGATAACATAACTCTATAGTGACAGTATACACACTGTTATGTCAGACTTGTGAAATTAAGTGATTAAACTGCTGAACCCAGCCAGCCCCAGGAACTCACAGAGTTGTCTTATGTTGTATGGCTTGGGAGGGAACAGACAACTTGTTTTCTTTCAGGCCCAAGGGATCAATGTCCTTTGGTAGCAGTGAACACTAGATATGGAAAAGGAGGTCAACATATCTGGGCCTTTCCCCAGGACACCTTGTAACCTGTGTCCATGAGCAGCTGCAGGAGGGCCTGTGTTCCCTTGTAACAGTCTTATTTGATCTCACTTGCCAGTGAGAGGTTATCTACATACTGGAGTGGTGTGCAATTTAGTTTGTCCCCTGTGGAGGCAGACAGACCAGCACCTGGAACTGTCTGACCAGGGTGGGAGAGTTTTTGAAACCTTGAGGAAGTCTGGTCCATGTCAGTTGTATCTTTTGCCCAGAGTCAGGATCCTCCCATTTAAAGGGGAAGAGTGGTTGCCTCTGGGAGGCCAGCCTCAGGCAGAGGAATGCGTCTGATCCAGGGGTGTCTCCAGATGGTAGGAGGAAGGGAAGCTGGTGCAGGTGGGTAGAGAATGGGGATAGCAGGAGATTGGCCTGCTGGAGGATTGAGGAACAGACTAGCAGGAGATGGTGGTAGCAGTGGAGGTGGCGGGGCTGCCTGGTCAGGTGATGAAGGCTGGTTTGAGGATTAACAGCTGGTTTGAGGGTGGCAGAGTCTCAGGAAGGGCAGGAGCAGGCAATAGCGGTGCAGATGGTGGTTCTGGGGTGTAAGGTTGTTATGGTTTGTGTCTGTGTGTCCCCCCAAAGCCTCATGCAGATCATGGGGCAGGCTTTTAGAGTTTGATTGATTATGGGTGTGAGAGCTACACCCGCTCTCCCTGGGGTGGATAGTTTGCATATGTAAGGGAGAGGAAAAGGGTGCTTGAGGCCATTCTGCCCTGGTGTGTGCTTGTTGCTTTTGCTGTGTTCTGCCACCCTGAGCTGTAGCTGTCTGCCATGTGCCCCTCTGCCTTGTAATCTGCCAAGTATGGACTGACACCTCCACAAACTGTAAGCGAAATAAACCTTTCCTTTCTTAATTTTGGGCATCAGATATTTTGTCCCAGCAACGAGAGAAAAGTAACCAAGACAAGGTGGTCACAAGAGGTCTTCCTCTGGTGGGCTTGGTAGACGGGCTTCACCTGACACTGTCCCTTCCTTTTAAGGCAGAATTGAACCCAAAGTGGGAGGGTCTGGGCAGTGTCCAACCAAGAAGCAATGTAAGGAAACTGATCAGTATGTCTGAGCTTGCCTGTAACAACCTTCCAGACTGCTTGGACTGTGGGCACGTCTACTCCTTCTAGTGGCCAGCCAGTATTGACCATAGGCCACTCAATTTCACAGAGCATTTTAAGCTTGGACAGTTTCATCTTGATGCCATAATCTCCAGAGAAGCCTTTTTTAAAATTTAACAACATACAGTCTAAGACAGTGGGCTTGTATGTGCTTCCCATGGTATATGTGGTGCCCTCAAATGGTGCATGACAGACAGAGGCTGGGTGCTTCCCAATGGAGACCACCAGGATACCTGCCTGGCTGTGTCCCTCTTGGGAACTCAGGTGTGTCTTGGCTAAGGACTTGGTTAGCCTCTTATGACAGGAGTGGGGGTGGTCACTGTTACGCTGTGTGATGTGACCATGTTACCTCAGGTAAGGGCCCACTCAGACTCTGTGGTTCAGTGCTTCCTTGCTGTGAAGCCACAAAAACTAGTCATTGCAAGCCATGAATGGGTTATATTCACTCACACACAAACAGGCACTCAGAGTTTAAAACATTGTTTCCCTCTTCCCAGGAGAACTCTGACTAATGTCTTAGTTCCAAGGCTGAGGTGAACAAGCTCTCCTTCTGTCCAGTGGGACGGGCCTAACTATATTTGGCCTGGGCCCTGGGGCCTTACTTTGTCCTAAAGTCTTTGTGGGGCTTTGCGTACCTCTTCTGAGTCCAGTCAGAAGAAACA